GGGAGAGGGATAGAGAGCTAGAAACACCGATGAGAGAGAAACTCCCCACTGGGGATGTGCCCGCAACCAATGTATATGCCCTTGACTGGAATCGAACCTAGGACCTTTCAGTCCGCAGACTGACGCTCTATCCATTGAGCCAAACCAGTGTTGGCAACACTCATGTATTTTCTAAGGTTAAATCATCCTCACCTTCCTAGGATAAATCCCACATTGGTCAGGAAAAAAATTTTTTTTTTTTACTGGATTGTTGGAGCTGATTTGTAAATGCTTTATTTAGGATTTTGGCATCTCTGTTTACGAAAAGTATTTTTAAACTAATGTGGAAAATTGTAATACTTTACAAGTATATGGTACTATGCAGTTCTTGAAATTATTTCACATGTGTTATCATCATGAGAATTGATAATTATCAGGAGCTATTAAAAAAAGCAGTATATAATGTGTAAATAGAAAACATCTATAAATTGAAACTGCCTTTTCTTATTATTCCCTACACTCTAAAGGGCTGTCAGTGGAACTAAAGTAAAGATTAGGAGGGAAGAGGATGCAGAGGAGTGAAAGGGTTTTTGTGCTCACAGGAATCTAGGAGGGAGTTACCAACCCACCCCACCCCCACCCCCAGAAAGCACAAGGAAGAATGGGGCTGCCAGCCCTTTAAATGTCTAGCCCTGTGCTGATGTTCTAGACATTCTATCAATGTAATGTTTTAACAACCTGATTTTGAATTTATAAGTAAAGATTTCCTTGTTATTAAACATTCTTTCTTAACTTTTGTTTTGATTTCATCATATCTGTACAGACTAAATTAGGTCGTGGCAACTGAGCTCTCTCCCGGGAAAAGGAAGCACTAAACATACAGGGTGCTCCTGCTGCCCGTCTGGCGGCCAGGTCACATACATGCCCTGGTCACAGTCTCGGTTAAGGAGCTTTTCCGGGAGCTTTTCCAGAATACACAACCATTACATAACAGTGATCGCCCAGACGTATAAAGTGCCTTTGGGAGGAAAATAGATGGCTGGCTGACATAATTTTGCAAAAATGAGGAAATTGATAACAGATTAGGCATCACAGTAAACATAGAATTGCCCAAATAGCAAGGCCTGTTTGTAGAGTTGACCCATACAAAATATGCCGTTTGTTCACTCTCTTCCCTGAGTCTCAGAGCCTCTGGTGTGTTATAGGTTAGGTACTTAGGAGAGCATTCACTCTAAGATCTCTCAGCAGAGCTTTCAGCCCTCTTTGCCCCTCCTCAGTATTCCCTTCTTACTTCCCTCTTTCCCTCTTTCCCTCCCTCCCTCTCTCCTTCCCTCTCTCCCTTCCCCCCTCACATTCACCCTCAGAAGCAATGACACCACAGTGTACCTGGGAAGAACCTGCTGGCTTCCCCTGATGCTGGCTGCACATTCCAGAATGAAGCAAAGAACAGGTACTGTCTGATAAGTCACGGTGCACATGTCCCATTAGAACAATTCAATCCCACATAGCCTTTTGCCCTGGACTTTGTGCATTGACCCAACTGGTCAGATAAGTCATCCAGATCTACTTTCCTTTGTGCTGTTTGGGGAAAGACTGTGTGCCTAAGTTGACTATTTCTTCTGGGATAAATGCACACCATGCACAATTCATAACCAGTGTGCCTGGAGAGATACCCTAGAAACCCGTCCATTACTTGCCATCACCAGCCCTAGAAATTCATTATGAATATGGATGATGAATACGGTTAAAGTTCGGGTGACTAGAACCTCCCAACTGCCATCTTCCATCTTTCCGAGCGGATGTCATTGCCATGAAGAGCAGTGAGCAGTGGTATGAGCCACACAGGTAGTGTAACTAAGCACCTCAGTCTAAAATAGTTAATTATACTTTACCCTAAGGGGGGAAAAAATGTTTCCTCAGGTTCCTGAAAATGGATGATGAGTAGTTTAGAACCTCGTGGATGTCCAATCTTTGGTTGCCTATTTTTAAAATGCTGAGCTGGGGTTTGAAACAAACTGTTCATTTCCAGAGACCCATTAGGCCTTATGGTCTCTTCATATAAGTAGATAAAAGGAAGAGTGTAAGAGGGAAATTAGCAGCAGAAGAAGTAGGCTACCAGACAGTAAATTTGCTGAAAGCCTAAACAACTATAATAGCCTGATGTAGGTTCACAAAAAAGTGGATCAACCTTTAAGTGAAGTAAAGTCCAAAGGTAGATCCAAATATATCTCAGAATTTAGGGTGAAAATAAATTTCATCCTAGCTGTCTCCTCTCTGCCATTCTATATAAAAAGAGGCAATATGCAAATTAACCCTCATGGCCTCACAACCAGGCCAGCAGGGTGTTTAGTGAGGGATGACTGAACAACTGAACAAGCAGGCTGTGTGAGGCGACCAGAGGGGCAACCAGGCCGGCAGCGGGGACAGTTGGGAGTGACCAGATCAGCAGGGGGGAGGGGCAGTAAGAGGCAGCCAGTCCAGTGGGTGGAGCATTTAAGGGCAACTAGGCAGGCAGGCAGGTGAGCGATTAGGAGCCAGCGGTCCAGGAATGTGAGAGGGATGTCTGACTGCCAGTTTAAGGACCAATCCAGGGATCAGGCCTAAACTGGCAGACATCCCCCAAGAGCCCCCAGATTGGAGAGGGTGCAGATTGTGCTTAGAGAACTCCCCTCCCCTCCCCCCCAACATAAATTTTATGCACCAGGCCTCTAGTTTTATTATAAGAGCTCAATACATGTTGTGTTGTTGTCAAATCACATTTAGGTTGTTCAAGATTTAAATGTAAAAAGTAAAACTAAAATGTTTCGAAAATTAGTTTCAAATGAATATTTCTGTCATCTTTGGTGGAAAAGCTTCCTAAGCAGAGTGTTGAAACTAAAAGTCATAAGGAATAGAATGATAAGATTTGACTACTCAAAATTTTAAACTTGTGTAAGTCTGAGCATACAAAGTCTTATAAATAACCCTAAATCCTCTTCTCAAACAATATATTATTCTAGAGCTGTGAATAGATAAGCTTTAGAAATGTAAGTAAGGGGATGGATTAAGTGAAAAGTTATGAATCTACCCATCACTTACGTCTCTCTAAGATGGCCACAGCACCGGATGAGCCTCACCAGGCCAGATTAGTCCGCAATGCAAAGAAGTTATTTCTGTAGAGACAAAACCTGCTGGCAGCCTTAATCCCTCCCAAAACCTCAGACCACATGCAGCCATTAACCAAAGTAAACATGGAAAGAGGAGCATTGGAATTGTCAGTAAATTCTGCAAAGTTGAAATTCAAGCCATCAGTTTCAGTAATTCCCAGAAGTTGACAGCTAAATCTAAACACTGTGTGGCTTTGAGATTTTACAGCTGGGCCCATGCAAAGGTTTCTGGAATTTCTTTTTTAAAAGGATATCATTGGTGTAGCCTACACAGACAACTTTCTATCTCATTAACTTTTAAAATATTTATTTAGCCCCAGTGAGTAAAGGAATCAAGAAATGTAGTATAGCCCCAGTGAGTAAAGGAATCAAGGAATGTAGGATTGAAAACCTGCGTAGAGATCAAGGTCAAGTGAAAGTCCTAAATAGCTTCTAAGAGACTTGCACCATCCTGAGCCATTGTAATCTGGCAGTTCAGTCTGGCAGGCCACAGGCTGTGAATAAGGCCAGCTTTAAGCAGCAATGGCAGTGTTTAATTTTGTCCCTAAACTGCAACATCCTCATTGTGAATTTACTCTCTTTAATTAGTAGTGACCTCGGGGAATAGGATATCTCCATGTGGAAATTGGGGCCCAGGAAGAGCTTTGTGGGCCTACATTTGAATGGGGAGATCCCTGAGAACCTATCCTAGTGAAGTTGATATTCACAGTGATGTGCCAAGTTGGTTTATTTGGAGCTGGTCTCACATCCTTACCAAAGACCCCCTTGTCGAGGCCCCAGAACTCCTCACTGAGAGGCTGAGTGTCACAAAAAATAGGGACAGTGACCCAGGTAACTCTGATCCAAGAAAGTTGCCCCTCTTGCTTCAGACTACCCAGTAATAGGGGCATTGTGGCGGGAGCATTTTGGAGTGGAGGTGAAATAATCCCAGAGTTACCTATTCAGCCTCCATCCTCCCTGGTTTGGTATGGAGATGCACAAGCTGTTTACATTGAACTAGGTAAAATAAGCAGAAAAATATTTCTGAGACCATTTATTTTATGTTAACAGATCATGTTAGAGCTTGTTAAGGAACTCTATTCGGGGTTGCTTTGGGTACTCGCTGTAGGAGAAAATTGACTTGAAAATGGTAAGTACAGATCTGTGACCAAGTATTCAGAGTGTCTGAGTGATGGAAAGAGAAAAAGGTCGCAGACAGATGGCAAAAAAATCTGTATTTGACCTTTGTGCCATGGGGTCAGAGTGCCTTTTCCTCTCTTCAGGGGATGGGAGGGTTGTGAAATGCAATTTAGAGCTGTAAACTTGGACTGGTTGGAAAGCAGCCACCTTTATTTAGCAGGGTCAACAACACCTTGGACAGCTGAAGGATAGGTTGATCATGAGCTCGCTGCTACCAAAATTATGAGTTCCTTTTGGGTTCTTTTCTCATAGTCAAGATATCAGCATCTCAAAGTAGCTGAAGAAAGAAAAAAAATTTTTTAATATATTTCATTGATTTTTTTACGGAGAGGAAGGGAAAGAGATAGAGAGTTAAAAACATGGATGAGAGAGAAACATCCATCAGCTGCCTCCTGCACAATCCTTCCTGGGAATGTGCCCGCAACCAAGGTACATGCCCTTGACCGGAATCGAACCTGGGACACTTCAGTCCGCAAGCCAACGCTCTAGCCACTGAGCCAAACCGGTTTCGGCAAGAAAGAGAAAATTTGACTCAGTTTCTGGCTGTTGGATCTTAGAGTTGCACCTGGATATTAGATCTGGCAAAGAATTATCACAAGTAATGTCATTATGTGGGTGTACGTGACTTCATCCAGACATTTCACTATTAGCTTCCTGCTCTCTCTCATCTCCTCACCCTCATCCCTCTCACCATAGGCGTAGAAGACATCGTAGCGATAATGATTCCTGAGCCCAAAGGGAAGGAGATAGTGAGCCTGCTGGAAAGAAACATCACCGTGACGATGTACATCACCATTGGTACCCGGAACTTGCAGAAATACGTGAGCCGCACTTCGGTTGTGTTTGTCTCCATCTCCTTCATCGTCCTGATGATCATTTCCCTCGCGTGGCTGGTCTTTTATTATATCCAGAGGTTTCGATATGCAAATGCCAGGGACAGGAACCAGGTGAGTAGCATAAAGTTTTTCTAAAACTTAAAAATTACTATAAAAATAAGACATGTTGAGGACAATGGGGGATGGGGAGGGGGCGGAGGGTGGGGTGGGAACCTGGTGGAGGGGGGAAGAAATGAGGAACCTTTGTAATAATATGAACAATAAAGATTGTTTAAAAAAAAAATAAGACATGTTATTGTATAAACTTATAAAATCACACAAAATAACTAAGACCAAAGTTACCTATGATTTCCCCCTCTCAAGATAAGCAATTGATATTTGTTGCATAGTTTTTCAGATCTTCACCAATACATATATTTTGATGTTTTATTAGTATTGTCCTGTAAAATGGAGGGGTTTTGTCCTATACTCCTATTGCTCATCTTTATTTAGGCACATAATAAAGGAGAAAGGGAACATGAGCTGAGATTATGCTAATAGTGGCAACATTATTTAGGAAAAGCCCAATTTCCTCCTTGCGGATAGAAGAAAAGGAGGTAAATAAAAGCTATTTTAAAAAGCTATTACATTTTGAACAGATAATATATATACATGGTATAAATTGCAAAAGGTATAAAATAGTTAAATGAAAAGTAATTGCCTTCCCATGTATGCCCCTTAGTTACCAAGGTCCTCTGCCTGGAATTTCTTCTCTTCTAGAGATATTTTATGTGCTTGCAAATGCATGTGCGTTCGTGTGTGTGTGTGTGTGTGTGTGTGTGTGTGTGTGTGAAAGAGACAGAGAGAGAGAGAGAGAGAGAGAGAGAGAGAGAGAGAGAGAGAGAGAACAAATAATAATACACCTTTACTCTGTACCCTTATTTCTTACTGTATCTTAGAGATTAATTTATATCAACACTCAATCCAAGCTGCCTTCTCATTTCTAATGCCTGATACCATTTCCTTTTTTGTGTATGTTGCATTTATTAAACCAACTCCTATTGATGAACATGTTTTCTCTTTTTTTTAAAAAATTTACAAGGACACTAAGCACATCCTTCTGACCAAATTTGGCCCTTTTTGGCCTTAGAAGTAAAGATTGGTTGTTAAGTCCTTTCTAGTATCTAGTCTAAGATCCTCTGACTCCAGGGGCTCCACAAAGGAGGCTCAGGGTTCTTCTACTCAACTAATCACCTCCCTTCTTAAACTCTTGAGATGGAGACCCAGGGTCATGACAGATTCTTTTAAATTTTGTTTTATTGATTGGTTTTGAGAGAGGAGGAGAGAGGGAAAGACAGAGAAGGGAGAGAGAAACATCAGCTTCTTTGTTCCACCCATTTATGCACTTGTTGGTTTATTCTTGTGTGTACCCTCACCAGGGATCAAACCAGCAACTGTGGCATATCCAGATGATGCTCTAATCAACTGAGCTACTTGGTAGGCCAGGGACATGACAGATTCTCGACTGAATGCCAATGTCCACTACAGGTAGCCTCCCTTTTCCTCTGGGAGGTGAAGGAGCCATGTGTCCCTCACTCCCCAGATGTGCTCTTTGGCAGCTGTTCACCCTGCAGATGCAGCGAGCAGCATTCCTGCCATGGCTGTGGCAGGTGAGCCTGCCTGCTGGGGATGCTGGGGACACTGTCCCTCTGTCTCCTAGGATACCCCATCTCCGACACAAAGACCGGGTCTGTGTTCTGAAAACCACAGGACTCTCGGTAGAGGATGGCAATTTCAAACATGGGCAGATCAGATAAATGATGTAAGGCTCTTTTTTGTTTTTCATAAACAATGTTGCCTTTGAGGCTAATCCAAGGAAACCAGACCTGGCTTGTGTTGTTTTATGTGAGGCCTGGTAATGACATTCAACCAAGCTTTCTTGAAAGAGGTACTCCTCTGTGTGAATACTTTTCCTGGTATTTGCATGTACATGGCCCGTGGCCCTTTGATTTCCTTTGCACATTTGGTCCTGAAGTTAAGCTGGAGCAAGAGATGCAATGGTATTTAAGACAAAGTTGAACGCCACAGGGGAAGAAGGACGGAAAGGGAAAGGAGTATGCCAAGTGTCCCAGGGGTCAGAGATGCTTCCATCTCCTAAAAAGTGACAACCAACTCAGTCCCTGTTGTGTCCCTGCAGAACATAGAGAGTCCTTGGGAGGATGGAAAGGCAAAATGTATGTTATATCTGTGACCTATTCGATGAGATAGTTAGCCATTGACTTGCCATGTTTAGATAATTCAGGTCCCAGGGATCTTTGCCTCCCAGTTCTGTTCTGTGTGGAAGAAAATCCTGACCTGGTAAAACTGGAAATGACACAACTCCACAAACTTAGTTTTACTAATGAGGGGAACTGGGGTCCAGAATGTTGAAGTGACTTGGCTGAAATAGGGCTGAAAGCTGGATCTTCTAACATCCAAGCCATGCACTTCCCACGAAAGATAACCCTAATGTTTCTACCTCATGTCACGTGTGCAGAGCTTTAAGTCATCACTCTGTGAGGTCACCATTCTGTGAGGGCAGCCAGACCAATTCCCTTACCCACTTTACTGCATTGACGGAATGCTGACCTACATCATAGAACTCAGCTGAACTGGCTGTACAGTGATTTCTGTTGCATCAGCCAGGCCTGGAAAACTCATTGTTATGTATTACGAGCAAGGAAAGTGTCTGAGTCACCCGTGGCCACATGAGGTTTCAGATGACTGGGATCAACTCTGTTTATGGTTATAGTTCCTTTCTTCACCTAGGAACATGGTCGGCAAACTGCAGCTCTCGAGCCACGTGCGACTCTTTGGCCCCTTAAGTGTGGCTCTTCCACAAAATACCACAGCCTGGGCGAGTCTATTTTGAAGAAGTGGCGTTAGGTTAGAAGAAGTTTAAGTTTAAAAAATTTGGCTCTCAAAAGAAATTTCAATCGTTGTACTATTAATATTTGGCTCTGTTGACTAATGAATTTGCCAACCATTGACCTAGGCCATAAGAACACTTTGCTGTTTTTCCACTTGGTGGTGGTGATGAGAATTGTGATGATCAAATACAGCTGTCAGTAAAAAGGGGCAAATATGAAACAAAATTATCCAATCAGATAAGATGGAACATAAACTCGATTTTGATGCTGTATTGGTGTCCTTATGTTCCTAGTTAGTTTTTAATCATATTCACTGCATGTCTGTTTATAACACAGAAGGGGACAAGAGGAAAGTGTCTTCTTTTTCTCCATCTCCTAAATATTTAGAAGGTTTGTGTCTTGTGTTGAACTGGAGTCTGCCATTATTTACCATCTTCGTTGGCATTTATGTAGGACTTGCTTCTTTTAATAAATAGTTCTTTTTTATTTTCCATGAAACCATCTGTCTTCACTACTGTCAAGGAACCAATAACCTTGGTAAACACTTTCTTATACTCACTTAGATTCAATTGACGGATAAATCTAATTATTAAGATGGTCCAACTCCTAGTGGTCTTTAGTAAGAAGCATGATTTGTATCTAGTTGGGTTAGAGAAAATCTGTAGGAGCCTCTAGACAAGGGAGAGGAATCGCCCTCTGAAACAAAAAGCCTCTAGAAACTTGAGGTGGTCCCTTAATGTATGAGGTGGCCCTTAAATGTACCTGTGGTGGTCGCTAACTCTCCCATTAGTCTGCATTTCTGAGAACCAACCACAAAGGAAGGATGGGTTTGGTGACAGACTTCTGGTTCCAATCCCTCGGTTCTCTAGTCAGGCTCCACATCAGGCTCCGTTTGAGCAGGACCTGTGGTTTTCTCTCCTTTATTCTTGGTGCAGTTAACAGCCCAAAGACAGAAGAGACCAACTGCAAAAGCTACAACTGCTTTAGTTGGACCATTTCATTAAGAATGTTTGTTTTTACTCATCTCTTTAGTTTGCATTTTGGAAATCTCGTAATACTGGTTAGAAAATGGTTGCAAGTCAGTGTTTTTATTTTGAAGTCAATATTTCCTGGTCGTTTTTGTGTCACTTAAAGAGAAATACAAAATTTGACTACATTTTAAAACTTTATGGTGCTTTCTGCTTTTTTGGTTAATCTAGACTTCCGTTGAAAACTCTAGCCTCCCCAGTTTCATAACTATTATCTATATCTCAGAAGCGGACTTTTCTGTATTCTCCAAGGTATCTATAGCATCCGCTCTGCCCCTGGCAAATCAGACTTTCTTATCCTTTGTCAGCCACTCACAAAACGTTGCCCTTTCTCTCCTGAAAGGAGGTGTATGTGAATTACCATCTGAAATGAGGGTGGTCTCAAGGCATATCAGGGAAAGGAAATACCCTCAGGCCATTTTTCCAGAATGGTGAAGGGAAACATGTCTTCCTTCCTTTGTGAGTCCTCTGATTTTTCAGGGAGAAAGACCTCTTAGACTTGGTGTTGAGGGACTTTATCATTTTCTTTATACTCGAATTTCTCCATCTGCTAGTTCTGCTCATGTGAGAAGCCCATCTCCCAAATGACTTGATCCTCCACTGAACTCTTTTAACCTCTCAGCCCCCAGTCACCAAATGACAGTAATGCAATTCCTCTTTCTAATCCCCTAACCATTAACTCTGCTATTAGCCATAATCCCTGATACCTAATGTCAGCTTACATTTTCTGGACAGACAAACCATTTTCTTTTTGTTTTTTATAAAGGCAGCTTACATCTTCCCTTTAAAGGGAATGGAAACGGCTTTTTATTTTTGTGGGAGAGAGAAGGGTTTTTTGGTTTTTTTTTAAACACCCCCTTTTAATTCAGATATAACCAAAAGCAAAATAAAATACATGGACAAGATAGAACGTAGTCTTTGAATTTACTTTACATGTTCATATTTATAAGGAACATATTTCATTTGCTTTAAAAATGATTTTAAATAAATTAAATTTTGAAAACATTATTTCTGGTTCATCTCCTTAAAAAAAAGGATGGTCTTTCTTTGAATATAATCCAGTACCATTGTTTGCAAATAATTATTGCTGCCTATTGCTTCTACTTTAAAAGTAAAAAAACAATTTAAGTGATTGGATTGGGGCCAGATATTATATAATACAAATTAAACACAATTACAGAAATATCTGAATTCATAACTTAAACTTAAAACAATCAATACTTGACTGTAGGCCCAGATCTCTTATTTTAAATATAATATTCTATAGGTTTTCTGCATTTAGTCCCTGTAACAAGTAGTCCCTTCTCCATGTTTTTCAATTATTGCTCCTGTCTTCTTCAATGAAAAGCAGATATTATTTGCAACAAGCTGCATTTGCCAAGGTCAGGACCATAGCTTTGCTTATCTAACCACATGTATCGTGGTTAGTTCATATGTTTTCCCATTAAATTTCTGGCTAAATTTCTCAGGTTGTTTTCCATATAAATAAATAAATAAATAAATAAATAAATAAATAAATAAATAAGAATGGTCTCTTGGTTTAAGATTTTATTCACTCATCAATCATTAATGGGGATTCCACTTGTTGAATGTTCCAGTGTCAATTACTTAAGGCAGCTCTATTCATATTAATGGGAAGCAAACATAAATACAGTCCTGTCCTCAGGGAGCTTACAGGAGAGAAAAGAAACTGGGATAAATCTTTAAAAATGTATATATTGTCACAGGGCTCTGAAGTAGAGGGACAAAGTGCTGTGAGGGTGTACAGAGGGGTCTTCTCTCCTGGAAGACATCTAGGAAAGGCTCCCCCCAAAATGACTTGATTTGAGACCAAAGGATAATTAGTCAATAACTAGAGGAAAAGAAGAGGGAAGAGAGTTGCATCCTGTTTAGTTTTACCTCAGTTCTTTTTCCTCTTACTCTATGTCCCCATTCATATTTATTATTATAGACTCTTTCTATTTTTCCTGCCAATTTAGTTTGCTATCTACTCCTGGACTTCTGCATAAATCTCAAGTGTATATGGGTATCTTTTTAGGAAACAGCCCAAGCTTACTCTCCTGTTAAAAATGCCAATGATGATTTTTAAAACTAAAAATGAAATATCAAAGAGGAAAGTAAATTAGCTTGGAGAATATCTCCTTTTCTACTTATTTACTGTAACTACTGTGTGTATAGGCCAGCTGGTGTTGCTCAGTGGTTGAGTGTTGACCAATAAACCAAGTTGAATATAGTATTTGTTGATGTGGGTAATGGTGGTTACATAGGGGTTTGCTGAATAATTATTTGTTAAACTAAACATATTTTTATGTATTTTCCTATACCCATACTCACACTTAAACGTATACAAAGGAGGCAAAATTGGATGTAAGAATGTGATGTAAAAGGATAGTACAAACTAAATATAAACCTAGTTTGAATCTACATAAGTAATGGAAATTCTTTAAAATTCCAACAGAGTTATCTACCTTTGACTGGAACTGAACTCTGGGACCCTTCAGTCCATAAGCCAATGCTCTATCCACTGAACCAAACTGGCTGGGGCCTCAATTTATTTTTTTGGTAATCTGTATAAATGTAACCTGCACTAACATCACTGGACAGGATCTTTCCATATAATATGCCACTTGCTTAACATGGGCATGAAGACTTTCTCTCTAATAGACTTCAAATACTGGAGCCGCTTTATTCAGATATCATCATGCCATCTCTTCCAGACATCATCATTAACATTCATGCCACTCGTGCATGATTTCAGAGATAGTTGCCCTGGTTTATTAAGTGTTATTAGAAGCAAAGTCAAAAATTACAGGCCTTTATTACTAACCAGCAGCATTTGCTGTTTCAGCGCCGACTGGGAGATGCAGCCAAGAAAGCAATCAGTAAGCTCCAGGTCAGGACCATCAAGAAGGGCGACAAGGTAACAGCCTCATTTTTTTTTGGGGGGGGGGGGGAATGAGGGGCTATTTAAACAAGCTCCTGGCTTTACTTGGCCACCAAGGTAGAAGAGAGAGAAGGATGGGAAGGGGGAATGAATGCTATTAGTTCTCCCATAGGCATCTGTTATCTTACCTGTCTTTATTAAATATTAGAGGCCTGGTACACGGGTAGGGTCCCTAGGCCTAGCCAGCGATCAGGGTCAATCTGTGGAACAACTGGAGGGGCGATCGGGTTGGAGGGGGTGAGGGTCTTACACCCACCTTAGCTGGCCTGAGGTCTGCAGGATGGGGGCAGCTCCTGTATTGAGCGACTTTCCCCTGATGCCCTGGTGGTCAGTGCACATCATAGCGACCAGTAGTTCCACCATTCAGACAATTTGCATATTAGGCTTTTATTACATAAGATAATTTAAAGCCCTTTATAAAAGGTATACAATAGAACAGCAAAGTAGTTTGGAGAATTTAAAATTAATGTAGGAAGAGCAGATAAAGCCAGAATGAAATTAGACAAATGCATTACCTAAAATGCCTAACAGAAATGGGTCCCAAATTTTAGCAGCCAATGCAAAGAAGGAAATAATATTACATTTTCAAGAAGTAGCTACCTTATTCCAGTGTCCCACAAGATTAAAAAAAAATAAAAATAAAATAAAAAAAGATGGTTCCTGTATTAGAACTTGATTCTTTGCAAAGAAGACAATGTTATGTACTGAACGATGTCTTCCACTACAGTAAATGCAGGAAGCATATTTAGTGTCTCGGAATTCTAGTGTCTAGAGCCCAATGTCATTGCAGCAGCCTCCCTCACTGTAGCAGGATGGCATACAGCCAAAAGCAAATGCATGTCTAGAGGATGGACAGCAGAGCAGTGCAGTCCATACCGGTGGCCTCTGAGGATCTTTCTTTGCCCAGGAGAAATTTTAAAGCAGTGGATTGCAGACATGGATTTGGAGCTCTTGGGAGCTTGTAAGGGATTCATGACTCAACATGCATTTCAGGTGTTTGTCTTTAGTTTGAATAATTGATTTGTCTCCCTAATTGTGTTCTGCTGTTTTTCAACTATATAAAAATTCTAATGACCTTATTACGATAACATTCATTTAAAATCACTACTGAATTGAAAGTATTTTTCCATTACTTTTCCCCCTGAAACGGGGAATAATAAAATAATAACTATTATATAAGTAATATTTTATGGGGTATTAAAGGAGGTTTATATACTTGGGGAAGAAAGAAAGAAGTCAGAAAAACTATTTTAGCATTGTGTACATTAGATTCCTGAAGAATGAAAAGATTAAATATTCAGATACTTCTCCATAAAGGGTATTTCTCATCTTTGAGTTTTTGCTATGTCACCTCTAATTATAATGAATAGCATTATTAGTAATGGTACCTTTAAAAATTATCCCACTTACAGTGGAACCCAGAGACAAAATGTGGAGGTTAGAATGAATGAAAACTAAGCCAGTAAATAGTAAATTATTGATTAAGAAAACTGACCCCAAGACCATTGAAGCCTGCCTCTGAGGCACGGTTCTTTGGCGTGTTATTTGGATATCTTTACAGGAGTTGAAACTACAAAAGTAGGCTCATGTGTGCTTTCTGTGTTGCAGGAAACAGAGCCTGACTTTGACAACTGTGCAGTCTGTATTGAAGGGTACAAGCCCAGCGACGTGGTCCGGATCTTACCCTGCCGGTGAGTCACCAGGCTGCCTGCTTTGACTTGGGCGAGTGTGGCGAGTGACCGCTGGCCTCTGGCTCAGACCTGCTAGGCCCATCTGCCCTAACGTTTCCATGTCTCACTATCAAACAACCAGAAAGCTCATTCTCCTGATCCTCTTTGCATCAAAGGAGGTATACCTCTAGGACATCATGAAACAGTTTGATAGCACGGATCCCAGTACTAGTTTTCTTTAATAGAAGATTTGTGATACTTAAATTTACAGTGCTATTTTAATTAAATGAGTAAAATCTTTCAAATAGTTTATGAAAAAAAATCAATAAAATATGTAAAATAAAATAAAAAAATAAAAAAAATAGTTTATGAATGATCAGCAGCCAGGAAATGGTCAGGATTAAGTAGGAAACGAACCGCAGATTCCATTTCCTCGGTTTGTTTTGGGGTTTTTTTGTTTGTTTTGGGGGGTTGGGTTTTTTGTTTGTTTGTTTGTTTGTTTGTTTGTTTTACTAATAGGAACAGAAAGTGACAGTCCTCCCCACCCCCCTCTCCTAGAACCTATAGGGAAGAGTGCCCCAAAGCGTAACTGGAAAAGCTCCCCAGCTGATTCTCACGCAATCCTCATTCCTCTTGCTAATTGATATTTACTGTTAAGGTGTCTGAATTCTTTTTATACAGTTAAAATTAAACACATTTAAATAACTTAATTAAATTATTTTTAAAGTTGCCTTAAAAGTTGTCCTCCTGTAATTAAAAACCTTTCTGCATCTGCTCAAGTATTCTGAAAATAAAATTAAATTCTGCCTTGAAGAAATGGTCTTTACTTGAAAAGACTGGCTTTAAAGAGTCTTAAAGTATTCACATAAATAAAGTATAAAAATACACAAAGATAGAAAACACCCAAAGATACAACACAATCCATTTACTCATAAAACAATGCATCTTTAAAAACTATTCATTAGAAATACAAAAGAAATAAAATATGCCTTTGACAGAATTGGTTCAATAATCCCAAAATGACAAAGAAGTGACAGAAAAAAAATCACACCCAGGATATTCGAGGGGGATGAATGGATGGTACTTGAAATGCTTTTAGGCCAATTGATCATTAGGAAACCACGCCTGGGGAGGTGCACCCTGGTGGCCCCAGTCAAGGCATTTGGTGGGATTCTTCTCCTTGGTTTATAGATGCCTGGTTGTCTCTAAGATGAAATAGTAAGGTGGGCACATAAAGACTTGGTAGTTTCCGTCACATGAGGGTGCTATACATAAATTCTCTAAACATTCCATGTGGCATTTACCAGGTGACTTCTAGAAACTCTGGCAAAGAGTAGCAGTATGTGAACCTCAGAGAGCCTCTCAGCATAGCATCTTTTCATCTCTGCAGATTTTACTCGGGATTTTATATATCCTGATAGTTATAAGTAAGGAAAGTGCTTTTCTTGATTTTATTTCTTGGAGACTGTTTAGAACCCTGTCAGGCTGCTCCGAATTAAAAATATATATATATATTCAAAGCAGCCCAGCCAGGATTGGCTCAGTGATTGAGCATCGATCTATGAACCAGGAGGTCATGGTTCAATTCCTGGTCAGGGCACATGCCCAGGTTTCAGGCTCAGTCCCCAGGGTAGGGCATTACAAGAGGCAGCTAATCAATGATTCTCTCTCATCATTGATATTTCTCTCTCTCTCCCTCTCCCTTCTTCTCTGAAATCAATTTAAAAATATATTTTAAAAAAATATCTAAAGCAAATTAAATAGCAACTTTTTCCTGAATCGCCAAAGAACTTTACAAATGTAATTTAAAAAATATGTTAGTGGGGTGAGGACGTGTGCTGGGGGGTGGGAGTGGCTGGGGTGAGGACAATGGGGGAAAAGGGAAACATATGTAATATTTTAAACAATAAAGAATTAAAAAAGAAAATCTGTTTTAAAAACTTGGTGCAGCATTACTTCAGCCCTGTAATTCATACAGTATAAAACACCTTGTTGTTTTAGAGCTCTGGCATAAGTATATTCCATATTACTACTTACAGTTGCTAGAGTCTGCATAATAATAGCCTAGTCGTAGATGTACCACCGTTTACTTCACCATGCCCCTGGGTGTAACACCTGGCTGATTGCAATTTGTAATTATAACAAATTACATGGCTTTACAAGCATTTAGATTGTCATCATATATCAAGCCAGATCTCCTTCTACTCTAAAATATTATGGAAATATTAACCAAGAAAAAATAGCATTTTAATATTTATCACAAAAAAAAAAACTTTATAAACTTCCTTTTTTTTTCTTTTTCTTTTTGAAACTTTCATTTTATGTATATTAGCCCTTGTCCTAGGCTGGTTCAATTTGGCCTCAAGCTTTCCCTTTTTATATCATTATTTGGTTCTCAGCTTATTCCTTGATTCTTTTTGCTTCGAGCTCTTTACTGTCCATTTGCTTTTATTTCCTTATTGTAGGCCCTCCTTTAAATAGTGAACTTCATTGAGCATTCCCAAATACAGATAATACTTATGGCTGTTTGATCTTAGATTCGCCACATGTATTCCCTCTTTGAAGAGCTCATACATTTTTTTTTCTATGCTGACTTTGAAATCAAGATATTTGTATGCCTGTTGCTGGGTTCTGCCAGACAGTTTGCAGTAATGGATGTTATTCAACAAAGGCACTGGCATTTGCTTTTTGCTGGGTAATTTTCTCTGGGGTATTATTAAGCCTTTGTTCCTATGAACTTCATAGACTCTCCCATTATTTCCAGGCTGACTCATATACAGAATTCTTTGCATCTCCTTGGAGTAAAAAGTGTTTCCAAAAATGTTCCAGTTTTCTGTCTTCCTCCTCTGATACTCTTTTCCGTGGCCTCCTCACCCCTGACACGCTGGGTATATTTCTGCCCTGTTCTTGCTGGGTAGGGTGTCTTTCCGTATCACTCAGGAGGAAGCTCTTGTACCACCATATTTTCAAAATCATTCTCTTGTTTATTTCTTTCCTTTGTCTCTTTCGGAGACCCTTGCATGCGTAAGGAACTAATAATGATTTCCCTCCTATTTGTTGTCATGGTAATGATTAAAGTCATGCGCAGACATACCTACCAGCTCCAAGATGTGAGTTTTAACGACAGACCTATGCTATTCAGAATCAATTCTTGCTTTTACAAGTGCTATCTTAAGTTAAAAAACTCTTTTAAAATACTTTATGATCATGAAAGGATCGATCGCCAGAATATGATCAGGAATGAGTGGGAAGTCAAAGGCAAATTCCATTTCCCTTCATCTTCTTCCGAACCAAAACAGAATATGACAGCACCACCAAAACTTTGGGAATCTAGGAGAGGGTGCCAGCATTGTGTGTGCTGTGTTTTTAATTGAGCCTTGACTTTTGTTAACAGGAGAAAATGTCAATGAAGGGATTTAGATTTTGATGCAAAAATCTAATGTATCTAACAAGTGATTGGTTTTCACATATTCCATTCAAAACCTGATAAGTAATGATAATGGTACGTGTTTCTGTTATTATTGTTGTTGTTGTTACAGTGTAATGTGCCGTTACTCTTATCATCATTGGAACTATTTCTGTTCCTAGTACAGTGGTTGCATCATTATGACCTTCGATTCTTTCCTGCCTTTCTGCAGTTGTCTTCTTACTAAGCTTTCTGCTCCTACTCCTGCTACTTAATTATTCATTCTGATAAGTATTTTTAATTATCTGGCTATAGACTAGATTGACTCCAAGTACTCTTCAGCAAATACAATTTTAAATTCATCAAATGTATCAGTATTAGGACCAAAAAATTAGTTGAGAGGAGATTAAATGAAATGTACTTCAGTCCTTCCATTTCTTTAAATTCTACTTCTGCAACAAGGGATATTCATAGAAAACTAAAGACATGCATTATTAACTATTGGCTCCTTACAAGGGAGATTGAGTTGGCTAGTGCAATGGCAATTGCCTTCATCCTGGATCTCTGTATGAATCACCCTTGGGAATCCTGCCAAGTGTGCCTTAGTATTATATTTTATACTCTTCTCCATGGGTACTCGCCACAGCAGTTCATGTATGGGGTAACTACATTTCTCCCAAGCAAGGGAATGTTTTTATATTGTGGGTACTGGATGGTGATACTGTCCAGATTTCTCTCTATGCGTGCTGATGGGAAACTAAAAGCCCGGTTTGTGACCCACACACATAGTCAAAAGCTATATTTGCAGCCTCATCCCTGACTCTGCTTTATGCCTGCATTCTTGGTTTTCTTTCTTCTTTTACTTTTATGACATCTTCTGGGATATCTGTATCTCCTAAGTCTTCTTCAGTCTTTTCTAGAATAAACATTTTCCATGTCTTTACAACTTTATCAACATAGTTTTTAATCCTGTATAATAAAGAGCTAATATGCTAATTAGGCCAAATAACAGAATGACCTTCCAAAGGAAGCCAGGGTGGCTGCAAGGGTCGAGGCAGCCAGGGCTACCAGGGCCTACCCTTGCACGAATTTCACACATCAGGCCTCTAGTTGTTTTATAACATCCCATATAGCATAATCTATTTCATTATTTTTGAACATTTCCTTTGTCCCCCTTCACCCCCCACCGCACAAACACACTTTTTTTTGCTGTTAAAAATAGTCTATCTTAAATAGCTATGTGTGTAGACTTTAGCTCACATGTTGGCATATTTTTTTTTTAGGTTAGATATTCAAATAACTTAATTGTTTTTCATAAAGTTTTACTGAAAGGGTTTTCCAGCCAGTCAGAGCTAAGAAGACTATTCCAAGCGAAGACAACTCATGGTAACCAGAAATTGTTAGTTTATAATGCCCGTCAGGATGGTGGAGGAGTAGGCTGGTTCAGATCACTTAGGACCTGAATGCCCAGCCAAGGAGCCTGGGCTGTAGGCAGCTGCTGGAAGCCCTCTGATGGGTTTCGCTTGTGTCACATGCACAGCACGCTGACACCATGTGCAACATCATATGGCTTGAAGGGTTGTGACTGGAATTGAGAGACCAGCTAAGAGACTGT